ACATATTCTATCTAATAAAGAGGGAATATGCTAACTGACCCTCACGCTGTGGCAAAAATGGCAGTGACCACAGCCAATAAGGAGGGAATATGCTAATTGACTGTCACGCTCTCAAAGATGGCGGCACCCACAGTCACAAGATAGCAGTGCCCAGTCCCCTCAGCCCTATTGCGGCAGCAGGCACACCTGCCTCCAGAGTCCCCCAAGTCCTCTTAGCCCCCCAGCCGCTTAGGGCTGCCCTAGGCTCAGGTAACCAGGGCTGGCCAAGGCTTGCACTGCCGGCAGTGGCAGCAGCAGAGGTGTGATAGGGGTGTTGCCTTCCCCTGATTGCCAGGTCACCTCCTGCCCCTGAGGGCTCCTGGACTGTGAGAGGGGGCAGGCCAGGCTAAGTCCCCCTCCAGTGCATGAATTAAAATAAGTCCCTATAAATAAGAGGGTTAAATGTTGTTGTTGTTTTAAATGTAAACTATAACAGAACCATGAAAAATAATCCGTTGTAAATTTATACAAAAATATTCAGAAAGATTCTCATAAAAGTATTTACGCTGTTTACTTCTGGGAAGCAAAAAGCAGTGTGGGAGCAATATTTCAAGAAAGAATATTTTAATTTTCACTCTGTACTGATTTATATTGTTAAAGGTTGTGCAAACAATTTTTTAATTTGAATTTTAAATTTCCTTTGACACCACATGACCTCACTCATTTGTGGATAACAAAGAGCATTATAAACTAATGAACCAAAAGATAGATATAGAGACAGTATATCAACAAGTAGACTGTCAAATTACAGCGGGGAGGGGAGGAAGATCTGGGGGAGATAACAGATCAACCGAAGGACTTTTATGCATGCATATGAGTACAACCAATGGACACAAAACTCTGGGGAGGGAGGGGATGTGTGGGAGGGAGGGAGGGAGGGGGGCAAAAAAAAAATCAATAAAATATATTTTAAAAAAAATTTCCTTTGATTCTTTAGTAGATAAAATACAAAAATGTTTAAGATAACTTTATATATTCCCAACTGTAGGTTGACTATTTAAAGGAAGATATTTTGATGCCAGGCATACTGAATAATAAAACCTATTTTATTTTGCACAGTAACTTTGTTTTTTCCTTACCAGCCAACAAAAACATTTTTTTCTTAGTCATTCTTTTTCTCTCCTTTCCCCCCATTTATAATCATGAATCCATATTCACTCAATTTTAGAAGTAGGCTCAAATTATGGTTCCACTATTTACATGCAGTATGACTATAGTCAAATAACCTAATATTTTCAAGCTTCAATTTTCTTATGTGTAAAATGGGACTAATATCTGCTCAACTTTTCTCACAGTGCTGATATAAAAAATAAATGAGAAAACATAAAATTAATTGGTACAAGTATATATTCCAAAAAGCTATCATTATTAACTAGTTATCATTATTAACTAGTGGCCCAGTGCACAGATTTGTGCACATAGAAAGGAAATTAATTAAAGAAATATTTTAATATCACTATACACCATTTATCTATAATAGAAGTGTCAGAGATTAAAGAAAATTAGTAAAACGTATATGAAAATAAAATATAAATTCATTAATAAACAACATGATATAACAAAGATATGATACAATAAAACAATAAAAACATATAAGAACAAAAATATGATATAAAAACAAAAACATGGTATAGAAACAACATTGATATATCTCGCTGTATACCACACTTTCAGAGTGCTTGAATAATTTCCCTTGTGATGAAGTATTTACAATTATAACTTTAACATCACATGCTCTTCAAACTCAAGAGAAAGCAACATATAACTGACCATGTCCAAAAACAGGTATAGGTAGGAATATTCCTACTCTGGTGTGTCCTTGTGAATTATTAATAATTATAGGAAATGTTGGAATCACGGGAAACTGTCTTCGAATTAATTTCAATGGGAGGCCAGTGGACAAATCAATTCTTGGAATCTGAACAACCTCTCCTTTTGCAAATCCTATTAATACTTTAGCTTAATTATGTTAGGTTGAAATCTTTTGATAATAAATCCAGTACCATTACAAAGACCCCATTTACTATTAAGATTTTCAGTAACATAATAATTGTACCTACTTTCAATTTTAACTTATGACACGGCATTCACAATGAAGTAATACTATTAAGAAATTCTATGAGAAAATTTTCCTTTTCAGCATCATCAGTTGAATCGATGGGATCATCACTCAAATAGATGTGAAAATCTCCATTAAGTATATCCAAAATTTCTTCATTTAATTTATGAACATGCTCATTTTTAGGACAAAGAATCGCATATTTAGATATATTTTTAATATTACCTATAAATATACTATTTGCAAAGGTAGCTTTAATAATAGATTCGTTACAAATCATTTCACATGAGATTTCAATAATATCCATTCCTAAATGAAAATTGCTATCAAGTTTGCCATCTCCAAGTTTTATTAATCATTCGCTATAAGCAAAATCCTCTGATCTCATATTTGTTTAAGTACAATTGTCTGAAACATCCCCAAACACTACAGTGTTTTAAATTCGTTTGTACTATGGCCCATTACATAGCAAGCGGCACAACACTGAGACATTGTCAAAAATCTCCTCTGAGAAGGAGAACTTTCCCACCAAATGCAACATTCAAATTCATAATTTCTCTTAGTAATCTATCTATGGCGTTCCAAATTCACAATAGATGACAGATTGAAACACACCCACACGATTGGTGCCAGCAAGAGCTTAATATGTATCACACGCGTGCGAGTCAACATTTTTAAATTGCCAGTGCGTGTCATATATATTAGCCGGTTGGTCGGACAGTCAGACGGACACAAGGATGGTCTTAGCCTTTTATATATAAAGATAACTTTATGAAATACAGGTTACTGGTGGTTTTTTTAACTTTATTTTTATTGTTGACACTAATACAATTTTCCCCATTTTCTCCCCCTTTGTCCACCTCCACCCAGCTCCCCTTCTCTCTGGCCATCACCACACTGTTGTCTGTGTCTATGGGTTATGCATATGTGTTCTCGGGCTAATCCCTTCACCTTCTTTCATCCAGTCCTCCTGCACCCGCTGACGGCTGTCAGATTGTTCCATGTATCTACTTAAGTGTCTGGCATATAATAGGTTCAAAAATTTGTCTGCCTTGAATATATTATACTTCAACTAGTTGGTAATATTATTTAACAACCTGTTCTGAAAATAACTATAGAAATTTAAAGTTATTTCTAATCTTTTGTTTATATTAAGCACCAATTTGCCTGTTGGTCCCTGAAATCATTGTTTGATCTTTTATTTTTGTATGCTACAACCAAAATGAGCCATAGAAGAAAAAGAAAATATTTTCAAACCTGCTTTAGGTTGCCTCTATTTAACAGCACAGTCACCCCTTCTGAAGCTATGGATCCGAGTAAAAGCTATAAGCCACAATAGTGGTGAGCTGTACACACCCTTAAGTTTGGCCCCCCCTTTTTCTTCCCATTCATTTATTCAACAAACATTTACATACAGGTCCTGTGAAAGATGCTGGTAATAAACTGTGAACAAGAAAGCCATCCTATTTGTCCTTATGGAGACGCTGACAAGGAGGCAAACTAAACAATTAAGCCTACAAATAAATATAGAAACTTTGTTAAACATGATAAAGAAAAGAGCAGGATGTTGAGAGAGAGACTGAAAAGAGGACCTGAGTTAAATGAACTGTCTATATGGTATTGCATATAATATGACCTGTAACTGTATAAAAATGAACTACCTTTTCCCCAAAAGTCATCTCAAAGCGTTTATTCAGAGGCAGAATAGCGAGGTTGCTGAGAGGATCAATTCTAGAGCTGATGGCCTGGGTTTTATTTTAAACTAGCCTCTACTCATCAGCTTTGTGACATAAACATTTTAAATGTTCTGTGCCTTAATTTCTTCATCAGACATTTTTCATTGAGTTATAAAAATTGAGTTAAATTCTTTTGTCTTATTTTGAAAACTATCAAATTCACAGAAAATTTAAAAGACCTATACTAACTTTTAACTCACATGAACCTGTATTTATCAGGTAAACTAATATTTCTACAGTGCTTTGAAGAGTTTCTGGCACATAGTAAACATCATATCACTACATAAACAGCTATATTAAATAAAAGTAAATTAAAATTATGAGAAAATAATTTGTAAAATACTTTTCAGAGAAAATTGGTCATTTCCTCCTGAGATCCTCGAGAACATGACAAATATTGAAGAGAGGGAAGAAGGGAAAGAGAAAGAAAGGGAAGAAAATGTGGAAGAAAAAGACAGAGACAGAGTCAAAGACAGAGACAGAAAAAAGAAAAGGCAGGAATTAAGATGAAAAAGGAGAAATAAAAGTCCAAGGCTTTACCCAACAATACTTTATCTGAAGGTCAACAGCGCTCTCTGCTGGACCTATGTCTTCTCTACACACTAAGCGAAAGTGATAAATTAAAATAATACATGCTACCACTTCACAAAATAAAATGTATCACTTTTGTAAAGGTATATAGACAATGTTAGCATTTATTTAATAAACAAATAAAAAGTAAATGTAAGCATAATAATGTATCTGTAAAAATACCTCCCCCATTGCAAGGATTTGCTAAAGGAGTAAAAATAATACAAATAAATACTAGAGAAAATGATTATAAATAGTGGAACAAAGTAATATCAGAATGGTGATGTTCTACTTTAATGCTCTAAGAACACTGAAAGAACTTTGGGGACGTGGGGTTCACAAACATAAGAATATTAAAGAGAAAAAACTTTCAGTGCTCTTTCTAGTCCCATTCTTTCATTTTACAAATGATGAAAAGGGAGCACAGAGAGGACAGGGTTTACCATCTCATACATTAGTAGCAGAGATGGATAGCACTTAGACTTCCAAGTGGTTTTCTACTGTTCTTTACATTATAGTATTCTTCCTCTTTTTCAAATATGGATTTAGCAAATTCCACATTCTCCTTTTAACTAAACAATGGCATAAATACATACATTTTGTGGAGAAAAGGAGTTTATCTTCCTTAATGGAGAGCTGAGTTTTGTAGGCTTTCCTGGAGTAACTTTTGTATCAGAATGATGTACTTCCTTTTCAAAACAATGCCGTTTTCTAATCTGTAAACACAAAACCAAAATACAGTTTAAGCAGGCTGGAAGGATGGGGAAATAAAAGGTGATGGAAGAAGACTTGACTTAAGGTAGTGAACAAACATATAGTGTACAGGTGATGTATTATGGAACTGTACACCTGAAACCTGTATAATTTGGTTAATCAAAGTTGTCCCGTCGAAACCGGTTTGGCTCAGCGGTAGAGCGTCGGTCTGCGGACTGAAAGGTCCCGGGTTCGATTCCAGTCAGGGGCATGTAAGTTGGTTGCGGGCACATCCCCGGTAGGGGGTGTGCAAGAGGCAGCTAGTCGATGTTTCTCTCTCATCGACGTTTCTAGTTTCTATCTCTCTCCCCTCCTCTCTGTGAAAAATCAATAAAATATATATATATATATATAAAAAAAAAAAAAAGTTGTCCCAATAAATTCAATTAAAAGGAAGAAGAAAAAAAAAGTTTGAGCAGGTTAGTTGTCTCCAAAGGTCCAAATAGCTGTTTGTTTTCAGCATTTAAAAAATGACTATTTCCAACTGATGATAATTGAATAATTTTTAAAAACAAACAGGCACTTTATTACAGACTTAAATAAAATATACTAGTATCTACTTAACACTAACCAAAATAGACTTAATTAGTGATATGTCAAAACTGTACTACAGTAGGTCCTTGGGTTATGTCGGAGATCCATTCCTATAGCTCGGAGTAACGAGATTTTCGCCGAAAGACGGAACCCACCTACATAAGCACCTACGTCACACACAAGAAGCACATACACAGCAGTAATGAAGTGAAATAGTAAAAAAAAAAAAAAATTTAAAGATAACAATTCCTGACCTTTACTGATTGTAAATAAATAATAAAAAACATAAAGCACATATGTTGAAATGACTTTTTTTTCATAAATAAATGGGAGATTTTTTGTAACCATGGAATGACGTATGTTGAGTCCGACATAACCCAAGGATTGTCTGAAGAATGATCTTCCCACAAAATAGTTTCACCAGATGGACACCAAGTATAGTATTATAGCAAAGTCCAAACTATATGCCTAATTGAAAAGTAAAAAAGCAAATAAAATAGGAAACCTCGTTGTAAATTAAAACTCAGAAAAAAATTAAAATGTAGACATTCATCATTTCCTACATGACAGAATTGCTTGATTACTATTACTTTTACTAGCTAATTGACAATCCAAGTTGTATTTGACTAAATTTATTTCTTTTCTTTTTTTTAATAAATCTTTATTGTTCATATTACAAATGTTCCTTTTTTTCCTCCCCCTCCATTGCTCCCCTCCACTAGGTTCCCACCACACCCTCTGCCCTTTCCCCAACCCCCCATTGTCCTCATCCATAGGTGCAGTTTATGTTCAGTCTCTTCCCGCATCCCTCTCTCCCCTTTTCCCCAAGAATAAACAGTTCACTCCCCTTCCATACCTCTGATTCTATTATATTCAACAGTTAATATTGTTCCTCAGATTTTTTTTTTTTTAGTTTCCTTGGTTTTTAGATTCACTTGTTGATAGTTACGTATTTGTTGTTCATAATTTTTATCTTTATTTACTTTCTCTTCTGAAAGAACCCCCTTCAGCAATTCATATAATTCTGATTTGGTGGTAATGAACTCCTTTAGCTTTTTTTTATTAGTGAAGCTCTGTATCTGACCTTAGATTCTGAGTGATAGCTTTGCTGGATAGATTATCTTTGGCTATAGTTTCTTACTATTCATCACCTTGAATATTTCTTGCCATTCCCGTCTGGCCTGCATGGTTTCTGTTGAGAAATCAGCTGACAATCGTATAGGTGCTCCTTTATAGGTAACTACCTGCTTTGCTCTTGCTTCTTTTAATATTCTCTTTGTCTTTTGCTCTTGGAATTTTAATTATGATTTGTCTTGGTGTGGTCCTCTTTGGATTCCTTTTGTTTGGAGTTCTGTGTGCGTCCTGGACTTGTAAGTCTAATTCTTTCACCAGGTGGGGGAAGTTTTCTGTCACTTTTTCTTTCAGTATGTTTTCAATATCTTGCTCTCTCTCATATTCTGGGACCCCCATAATTCTGATGTTGGTTAGCTTGAAGTTGTCCCAGAGGTTTCTTACATTATCTCCAATTTTCTGGATTCTCTTGCCTTCTTGCTTCTGCGGAGGAGTGTCTTCTGGCTCTTTATGTTCCAAATCTTTGACTTGATTCTTGTGATCTTCCATTCTGTTTTTAGGACTCTGTATAGTATTTTTTATTTCAGACAATGTATTCTTTATTTCTTGTTGATCCCTTATCATTTCTTGTTGATTCCTTATTAATTCTAGTTGATCTCTTTTCATATCCTCATGGGTCTTATCGATCTTTTCTAGGAAATTCTTGAAAAATCTTATAAGCGTAGATTTGAACTCTATATCCAGTTGTTTTTTGTCCTCCATTTCTTTCGTTTGTGATCTATTTCATTGTCGCATTTCGCAGCTACAGATGGGGCGGAGTTTCAGGATGGAGCCTACAGCCTTGGCTTCCGTCAGCCCTGCCCTATGCGGTTCCTGGGCCTCAGGGTCCTTCAGTACTTGCTGCAAGCGCGTCTGAGAGAAAGGTGCCCTCGATTTTCGCCTGCTACCAAACAGTCTAGGCTTTCCCCCAATGAGCCCGGTATTGGGGTTCAGTTCAGTTGAAAGTGGAGTTGGAGGTGGCATTCAGAGCAGTCTGGAGCCCGTCTCCTTCCCGCCAGGGCAATTCCGCGGCACAGCCAACCATCCCTTCTCTGTGCGCAATATGCGCTCCTCCGGGACCTCCTTTCGCCGCTCCCCCGGGGTTCCGCCTTACAGCCTAGCTCCCTATGGATAAGCCTGGGTCCCTGGGGTCTGGCCTAGAACTGGGGTTCAGAGCAGTCGGAACTGGGGCCCAGCACAGTCGGAGCTTTTATCTCCTTCCCGCTAGGAAACGCCAGCCAGGCACTCGGCCTCCCTCCTCTCCGACTCCGTCCTCTCCGCGCGCACGGCGTCTCCGTACCTTGGGCTTTTCCAGCTCCTCCGCGCCTCCTTCTGGTTTTCTCCTTGCTTCTCATTGTAGAATTTCCAGTCAGTCGACTTTCCTTAATTCTAGGTAATGTCCATTTTATATTTTAGTTGTATTTTATTGAAATTGTTGTGTGTGGCTGCGGCTAGGTGTTTACCTATGCAGCCATCTTGGATTCTCTGACTAAATTTATTTCATAAATACCACTAAGTTTGCTTTCCAAAATGTCTGTGTTTTTTGTCAACTTGCCAAAACCCTATTTACTTAAACTATAAAGGGGAGAGGGGCATTTCTATTCATGATCCCATTCCTACCAAAAAAGAAATGAGACCCCAAGAAGTCAAGGATAAGTGTTATATTACCTCACAACATCCAATCCATGTACACATTTTTTGGGGGGAGGGAAAATTTTCTAAAGATTCATGCTTCATTTGTAATTGGTGCTTTTCCAAAAATAAACTAGTTCCTTCTATTTCTAAAAATGGTTTAATTATGAAAGTTAAAAAGATTGTAAATAAACTACATAATGCAGAAAACTTTTTTAACATATTCAATTAAAATATTCAATTATGTGCAAATGACGTGCTAATTAAATAATATAAATAATACCCTTTTTATTTGTAATTAAGGCTATTAAAAATCCCAGCCTCCCCATCTCACTACCATGAACTCTATGAGAAAACATAGTATTCATCTACGAAAAGTATTGTCATTTAAAATATCTAGTAATTTAGGCCTTTCAATAATTTGTAGAAATTTTATCCTGTATTGATATTAAAAACTTTAAAAAAAAAAAACTTAATAAATAAGAGTAAACCTTGTAAATACATTAAAACTACCAATACCAAAAATATCCATCACATAAATATTCATATAAAAGGAATTTTGGCAAAAAAATGTCATTATTAAATAAAAACAGTAAAGAAGTTAAAACATACAAAGTAGTTCTATTAATAATATATTCCATAAATAAATATTTTACTATAACATTCCTCATATATAAGTAAGCATCATGCAGTTTCACCTTAATAACATTGACTGTAAATAATTCTTTCTACACTAATAAGAGAAACATGCAAATTGACCATACTTCCACTACGCCCACAAGCCACGCCTACCAGCCAATCAGGAATGAGTATGCAAATTAAGCCAGGCAAGATGGCTACAGCCAAAGAGAGAGTAGGAGGCTTGTTCCCAGCAATGGAGGAAGCCAAACTTCCCGCCCTGCCCTGACTGGCCCTGGCTTGTGCTAAAGGCTACAAAGTTCCAATTATAGAAAATAAATAAATCCCAGATACCAGGGCCTCTGCTTGGGTCTCCGGGGGGCGTGACCGACCTGCAAACCACTATAGGCCCCTCATCCAGGCCGCCTCACACCCCAAGAAAACCCCCACCCTGATCCAGGACACCCTTCAGGGCAAAACAGCCAGGCCCTACCCATGCACCAGGCCTCTATCCTATATAATAAAAGAGTAATATGCAAATTGACCAAAACTCCAACACACAAGATGGCTGCACCCACATGGTCAAAAATGGTTGCCCCCATGTGGACACAAAATGGTTGTCACAAGATGGCCAGCAGGGGAGGGCAATTGAGAGGGACTAGGCCTGCAGGGGAGAGCAGTTGGGAGGGAGGGGATGGACCAGACCTGCAGGGGAGGGCAGTTGGAGGGAACCAGACCTACAGGGAAGGGCAATTAGAGGTGACCAGGCCTGCAGGGAAGGGCAGTTAGGAGCAAACATGCTGGCAGGAGAGCAGTTAGGCATCAATCAGGCTGGCAGAGGAGTGGTTAGAGGGTGATCTGGCTGGCAGACAGAAGCAGTTAGGGGCAATCAGGAAGGCAAGCAGACAAGCAGTTGAGAGCCAGCAGTCCTGGACTGTGAGAGGGATGTCTGAATACCCAGATCAGACCTAAACGGGAAGTCAAATATCCCTCAAGGGGTCCCAGATTGGAGAGGGTGCAGGCTGGGCTGAGAGACATGCACACCCATGCACGAATTTCATGCTCTGGGCCTCTAGTCATATAATAAAAGTCTAATATGCTAAGTGTCTGGTTGTCCGTTTAACCAATCAAAGCATAATATGCTAATAATATGCTAAGGGTGCTCAACCGTTCACTATGACGTGCACTGATCACCAGCAAGCAGTCAACCAATCCACCAGTTGCTATAATGTGCACTGACCACCATGGGGCAGACAGTTGACCAGTCGACCACTGGCTATGACGTGCACTGACCATCAAGGAGCAGATGCTCCTCTGACCAGTAAGTAAGCTTGTTGGTGGGGTGAGCAAGACGGGCCAGAGCCCTCCCCCAGTCCCTTCCTGGCCCCAATCATGCATTGGTGCAGACCTGCGCCCTCACAATCCGGGACCACTTGGGGGCTAGGAGAGCCAGTTTTGGCCTGATCCCGCTGGCTAGGACAAGGGACCCCACTGGTGTATGAACTTGTGCACCAGGCCTCTAATCTTTTATAATAAACTCTTTGTAATGAGTAATACCTAAAATTCAATTACAACAATTTACCATTATTTTACATCTGTGACCCCACTAATCTCCACAAGTCAAACTGATATCTGACAGCCTTCTTCAGCTATAACTAATGGGATTATTGCACTGCCAATAAACTCTATTTACCTGCTGCGTAGTTTCTAAGGATCGAATTCTTTTCTTCTCTACTTGAAAATCATCATTTTCATCTTTGCATATGAATGCCTGTTTCTTGGCAGATAATTTCGCAGCCAGCGTAGTTTTTTCAGGAGAGTCTTATAAAAGAAGTTAAAAAATTAGCATAAATAACTTATACTTAGCCAATTTTCCTAAAAAAATTAGAATCAAGATGTAGACTTATTTTAGAAATTAATATATATTTTTTAATTGCTAAACATGTTTAAAAGCACTTTACCCGATTACTTTAACAAAATATAGAAAATATTTAGAAAAATGTTTTCAATAGGCAAGTCCAATTTTAACAGGTTTATACTGTTGTAGACCATTCCCAATAATGTGATTTTTAAAAATATAACTGTAAAACTATCTCAAGAAAATGTCTTTCATTTCTATAACAATATTTCTTTACAGGGTCTCAATGTCACTTTCTTACTAAGCTTCTATGTTAGTTAGGCTTGGTCCCCAGTAGGGGGAATGCAGGAGGCAGCCAATCAATGATTGTCTCCATCATTGACATTTCTCTCTCTCCCTCTCCCTTCTTCTCTGAAATCAATAAAAAAATACATCTAAAAAAATATATATAAGTCCATATTTTTTTAAAAAAGAATGTTCAAAACAGCATTAATAACCTAAAGCAGAAACCGCCCAAATGTCTAACAACTATAAGATAAATTAATAAATTGCAGTATATTCTCAGAAGAAAATAATATATAGCAATAAGTACTACTATATGCAACACACAAATAAATCTCATAAGTATAGCATTAAGCAAAAGTAGATGGATATAATTTCATTTCTATAATAAGGCAAAGCTCACTAATGGTGATAGAAGGGAAGATAGCAATTACCTGTGGAAAGGTGACTAACAAAGAGGATGAGATGTGTTGGTCATATCCTATTTTTTATCTAGTTGGGAGTATATTAGTATGTTTGCTTTGTGAAAATTCTTCAAACTACTAGTATACACTTAGAATTTGTTCACTTTTCTGTATTTAGGTTATATCTTATTAAAGAATTTACTTCAAAATATAAAGAGAGTATCAGAATGCAACCATGATTTATTGCTATTTGATTCTTCAAGAGACTATTGTATATACTCTACACCACAATAATGTTAAAAAGAAAGTTGTAATTGACAACTGATTTTTTACAAAGGCAATGAATGCAGTGGACAAAGGATAGCCTTTTCAATAAATGATGCTAAATAATTAGATATACATATGCAAAATAAATGAACTTGGATCCATACCTTGCACCATATTAAAAAATTAACTCTAAATGCATTTTAGACCTACTGTAAACCTACAACTATGTATTTTTTTAAAAAACTTGTACTCAAATATATGAAGAAACTCTCAAAACTTAATAGTATTTTACCAAAGAGATTGAAAATAAAAATAAAAAAAAGAACCAAACAGAAATTCTGAAACTGAAGAACTGAGTAAATGAGATGAAGAAAGAACTAGCAAGCTTCGGAAATAGAGCAGACCAGATGGGAGGACAAATTAGTGATAATGAAGACAGAAATGTAGAATTAAATACTCAAGAGGAAAGAAAAAATCGTGAGTTTAAAAAAAATTATTCAAAAAGTATCTGAACTCATTAGAAAGAGCAATCTATAATAATAAAAGCTTAATATGTTAATTAGACCAGACATCCCTCCAGATGACCTTCCAGACAAAGCCAGGGCTGGGAGGGAAGCCCGGGTCCCGGATGCCAGAGGGAAGCTGGTGCCGTCAGCCGGGAGAAGGAAGGCCTTGGCCTTCTCTTGAAAATTTCGTGCATCGGGCCTCTACTATAAGAATAATGGGGCCCTAGTCGATTTGATTCAGTGGATAAAATGTCGGCATGCAAACTGAAGAGTCCTGTGTTCAATTCTGGTCAAGGGTACATATTTTGTTGCAGGCTCAATCCTGGCCCTGGTCAGGGTGTATTCAGGAGGCAACCAATTGATGTGTCTCTCTCACATCAGTGTTTCTCTGTTTCTACCCCTTCTTCCACTCTTTCTAAAATTCAATGGGAAAAATATCCTTGGGAGAGGATTAACAACAACAACAAAAAGAATAATGGGTACACCAGAAGAAAAGAGGAAGAAGGAAATGAAGAACCTATTCAAACAAATAATTGATGAGAACTTCCCAAACCTATACAAAGAACTGGGTCCTCAAATCCAAGAAGCTAACAGAATACTTGATTATCTCAATCCAAAAAGGCTCTTTCTCAAAGGCACATTATATCAAAAACTGTCAAAAACTAACAACAAAGAGAGAATCTCAAGGCAGACAGAGAAAAGAAGATAGTAACCTATAAAGAAAATCCCATTAGAGTATTATTGTATTTTTTTAGTAGAATGCTTATCTCAGAAGATCAGGCAAATTTATCTAGAATAATGGGGGAGATAATAGATCAACCGAAGGACTTGTATACATGCATATAAGTACAACCAATGGACATAAAACTATGGGGAGGGAAGGGATATGGGGGAGGGAGGGAGGGGGGCAAAAAAAATCATTAAAATATGTAAAAAAAATTAATTAATTTAAAAAAAATAAAATAAAAAATAAATTTAAAAAAAATAAAATAAAAAATAAAAAAAAAATAAAAAATTTATCTAGAATAAATGAGGCTGATTAGAGTTTGTCTTACAATACAAATTAATATGTATTATAAAATTCTACCACATAATTAACAATAATGCCTACAAATAGCATAGTCTCTGAATATCATTTATTCTGCCTTGCCTTCAAAAAATAATTTAAGCTAGCAAAATATCTGAATAAAAAGTCAAGTCAAGAATAATCCAAGGAGTTCTGACCACTCTATGAATTATCTAAAAATAATTCCAGAGCCGAGGCCGGTTTGGCTCAGTGGATAGAGCGTCGGTCTGCGGACTGAAAGGTCCCAGGTTCGATTCTGGTCAAGGGCATGTACATTGGATGCAGGCACATCCCCAATAGGGGATGTGCAGGAGGCAACTGGTGGATGTTTCTCTCTCATCGATGTTTCTGGTTCTCTATCCCTCTCCCTTCCTCTCTGTGAAAAATCAATAAAATATATATATTAATAATAATACTAATAATAATTCCAGAGAATATATGTAGACATACATATCAATTACACTAACCAAATTTATCTAAATAAGGTCTCATAACAACAATAAATAAGGCTTCTGTTACAGATACTAACAGACCCCACAAAATCTGAACTACCTTGACAAGGTGATGAAGTTCCATTTCTCTCAGAAGGTGGTGTACTTGTACTATTGAAATGACGTGAAGTTCCTTCATTCATGTCATCGTTTGTAAAATTCTTTGAATGGCATGTACAACAACATGACAATAATACTTCAGCTTTTTTACTTAAGCTTTCATCTACTGGCTTTCCTAAAAAAATAAAAGAACTTCTATTTATAACATTTCTGATTTCTTTTAACTCAATCTTTCTATGCATTTGGGGTAAGCAAACACCCCAATTTGCCCAGGATTGGGAGATATCCCAGGATGCAACACTTTGTGTGCTAAAATTGAAAAAGTACCTAGCAAATTTAGACATCAAATTTGATAGCAGAGAAACATTTATGCCAGAAACATGTAGAAAAGTTATCATGTTATTTATAGAATTTATTAAAATCTAATTATAAAAAAACAAATAATGTAATAAAGGCACAACAACGTAAGTATTAATTTATATTGAGAGTTATTAAAATATCAAGCATGGAATAAAGACCTAAAATATCTTCTTCATTACTGCTATTTTCCTTAATCAAGAATTTGAAAGTACAATAAGTTAAATTATAATGTAAACACATAAAAGTTAAATCATTCCCACATTATACTTCTATTTCAAACAGAAACATGTTTCCTGATGTAGTGATTATGATATATGTATCAAAATACACTTTAAAGTCAATATTCAAATTAAATAAAACAGGTAATTTTCAGTACTTTATATAATACAAAATTGCAATATCTACATTATTTGCCTGTGTGTTTCAATATACAATTCATAGATACAAAAAAAGTTGAGTAATTTATTTTCTCTAAAAGAGTACTGCATTATTTTCCTCTCTATACTACAGAAATAATAATAGTTCTATTTTCCAGAATCTCATTAAAATTTTAAGTTATTAAGATAACCTCATTTTCCCCCAAAGATTAACTTAACATCAGTAAGAATCAAAACGGACAACCAAAAGCTTATAAAATATTTACTTTTTATTTTTAATATTTAATAGTCTTATCAGTAACACATACATTTCCATTTAAAAAACATTATATATTCATACACACACACACACACACACACACACACACACACACACACACACATATACATACTTACATATTCAAACCCATGCTTACTTTTAAACTCTGCTAACACTTTAGGTCAAAGCAATCTAATTATGTAACTAAAACGTATATAATATTGTACTTTAGATTCATGATGTGTATTAGAAAATCTTTCATAAAAGAAAATATTACTAAGCATTTTTTTCGCAAGTAAAGTAAATATAATGAAAAATAATATGGATTCATACAAACAATTTTACAACAAATGTTTATCTAGTACCCAAACCAGTAGAAAGATCAACTAGAATGTTTTCCTTTTTATATATTCCATGTTTTAATGTTATGAGAAAGGGACAGATAAGCAAATATACCACAGAATTTACTCAACACACACACACACACACACACACGCACCCGCACACACACACGCACCCGCACCCGCACGCACACACAATTATTGCTATTCTGGCATCATGACAGACCCATCTCTTGCATCTTTTACATGAAAATTATAATTATCTATAATAAAAGCATAATATGCTAATTAGACCAGACAGCCTGAAGACCTTCTGACAGCAGCTGGGAGGGCTGAGCACCTTGCACGAATTTCGTGTATCAGGCCTCTAGTTTTGATGATAATAAGCATGCCAAGATTCTTATATATACTCTGAATCATCAAATAAAAAACTACATTATGTTCAAATTTGTTTGGGGACTAATTGAACATGTTTTGCCATATTGAAATTCTTTTGGAAGACATAGTAACATCATAAAGAAAGACCTTAAAAGAGAATACTAAGTTAGCTAGAATACAGATGAATCATTCTGAATGAAAAGTACTTCATTTTTTTTTTCCGGGTCCTAATAAGCAACCAGAAGCTAGCAATCAGCTACTTACCACTAAGAGACTGTTGCCATGCTAAAGCAGAACAAAGTAAGGCTAAGCTTTTCCCACTTCCCGTAGGACTTTCCAACAAACAATGCTGCTTACTATTCAATCCTCTGACAATCTATGGGTACAAAAACAATAAATAAAAAAATCAATAAACAATTTTATTTCATTAGAGTCTCTCTCCATCAGAAGAAAATATGCATAAGAAAGTTCATAGCAGCCAAAACTGGTTTGGCTCGGTGGATAGAGCGTCAGCCTGCAGACTGAAAGGTCCTGGGTTCGATTCCAGTCAAGGGAATATACCTTGGTTGCGGGCACATCCCCAGTAGGGGGTATACAAGAGGCAGCTGATCAATGACTCTCTCTCATCGATGTTTCTAACTCTCTATCCCTCTCTCTTCCTCTCTGTAAAAAAATCAATAAAATAAAATAAAAATTAAAAAAAGAAAGTTCACAGCAACACTGTTTATAATTTCAAAAGAATATATACAATCTAAATGTCTATTAGAAGGATAATGTACCAAAAAAAATCCTGGCATTCATATAATGGAACCCATAAAAGCAATTAAAATGAATTAGCAATCAACAGGATTACATCTTTTTTTGTGTGTATATTTTTATTAATTTCAGAGAGGAAGGGAGAGAGAGAGAGAGAGAAACATCAATGATGAGAAAGAATCATTGATTGGCTGGCCCCTGCATGCCCCACACTGGGGACTGAACCCACAACCAATGCATAAGCCCTGACTGGGAATCAAATCAAGACCTTCTGGTTCATCGGTCGACCAGTTAGCCATGCCGGCCAGGTCAGGGCTACAACTTAAAAATAATGTTAAGCTGCCCTGGCCAGTTTGGCAAAGTTGGTTGGAACATCCTCCAGTACACCAAAAATTGGCAGGTTCAATTCCTGGTCGGAGCACATACAAAGGTCGCAGGTTCAGTCCCTGGCCGGGGCGTGTGGGAGGCAACCGACAGATGTTTCTCCCCCACTCTCACCTTTCCTCTCTCTAAAATCTATTAAAATAATAATAATAATGTTAAGGAAAAAAAAAATGTCAAGTTCTACAGAAAGAGAGGTATAGTGCATATCATTGTGCGAAGTTCAAATATATGTAAATTAACAGGATATATACATAATAAATGTATTAAAGCAATGCTAGGAAAGAAAAAGAAAAAAAGTAGGATACTAATAATCCTGTTATTTATAAACAAGGTATAAAGCAAATATGGCAAAATATTAAATTACAGCAAAGCTGGAAAGTTGGTTTACTCAAATTTGTATATTAACTTTCTAAATAACTGAAATATCTTCAAAAAAATTACCATAGAAACTAGAGTATTCCATGTGGAAGACAATAAATACTTTATAGAAAGCAGTAATTCTGTAAAGTAAAAGTTCCAAATGAGCTGAGAACTTTGTTCAGAATGTTCTCCTTTGCCTCGTAACTAACCATGGACACACAGTGTAGCCAGGAACAGTAATATTTTCCAAAGGTTAGATGTTCGTCAATGAACCCATCAAATGTTTTCAATCCATTTACTATCTGAGAAAATAAATGTAGTCACAGACTCAGTGTATGTTATGCATTACAGGCATATGTATCTTAATAAGACTTGAAATAACTGCTGAAAAATACTTACAGAATTCATCATAGCAAGCTGGGATGGATAAGCTTTACAAGGAAAGTTAATCTTCACCCCACCAATGGTATATTCAGACCATTCTGAAGACATCATACTTTCCTGTTTACTTCAGATTCCTAACTGCAACACAAATGAAAATCAATATTGAAAAAATGCTTAAGACTACCGAGACCAGTTTGCTCAGTGGATAGAGCGTCAGCCTGCAGACTGAAGGGTCCCAGGTTCGATTCCAGTCAAGGGCATGTACCTTGGTTGCGGGCACATCCCTGGTGGGAGGGGTGCAAGAGGCAGCTGATCGATGATTCTCTCCCATCGATGTCTTTTTTTTTTTTTTTTTAATAAATTTTTATTGTTCATAATATTACAAATGTTCCTTTCCCCCCCTTCTCACCCCACCCTCTGCCCTTTCCCCACTCCCCATTGTCCTCATCCATAGGTGCACAGTTTATGTTCAGTCTCTTCCCACATCCCCCTCTCCCCTTTTCCCCAAGAATAAACAGTTCACTCCCCTTCCATACCTCTGATTCTATTATATTCAACAGTTAATATTGTCCCTCAGTTTTTTGTTGTTTTTTTTAGTTTCCTTGGTTTTTAGATTCACTTGTTGATAGTTACGTATTTGTTGTTCATAATTTTTATCTTTATTTACTTTCTCTTCTGAAAGAACCCCCTTCAGCAATTCATATAATTCTGGTTTGGTGGTAATGAACTCCTTTAGCTTTTTTTTATTAGTGAAGCTCTTTATCTGACCTTCGAATCTGAGTGATAGCTTTGCTGGATAGATTATCTTTGGCTGTAGGTTCTTGCTATTCATCACCTTGAATATTTCTTGCCATTCCCGTCTGGCCTGCATGGTTTCTGTTGAGAAATCAGCTGACAATCGTATAGGTGCTCCTTTATAGGTAACTACCTTCTTTGCTCTTGCTTCTTTTAATATTCTCTCATTGTCTTTTGCTCTTGGAATCTTAATTATGATTTGTCTTGGTGTGGTCCTCTTTGGATTCCTTTTGTTTGGAGTTCTGTGTGCGTCCTGGACTTGTAAGTCTAATTCTTTCACCAGGTGGGGAAAGTTTTCTGTCACTATTTCTTTCAGTATGTTTTCGATATCTTGCTCTCTCTCATATTCTGGGACCCCCATAATTCTGATGTTGGTTTGCTTGAAGTTGTCCCAGATGTTTCTTACATTATCTTCAACTTTCTGGATTCTCTTGCCTTCTTGCTTCTGCGGAGGAGTGCCTTCTGGCTCTTTATGTTCCAAATCTTTGACTTGATTCTTGTGATCTTCCATTCTGTTTTTAGGACTCCATAAAATATTTTTTATTTCAGACAATGTATTCTTTATTTCTTGTTGATCCCTTATCATTTCTAGTTGATCCCTTTTCATATCCTCATAGGTCTTGTTTATTTTATCGGCCTTTTCTAGGAGATTCTTGAACAACCTTATAAGTGTGGTTTTGAACTCTATATCCAGTTGTTTTTTGTCCTCCATTTCTTTCGTTTGTGATTTATTTGGTTTAGGCATTTTCGCAGGTAGCTTTCCTGATTGGGCGGGGTTTCAGGGTGGAGCCTACAGCCTTGGCTTCTGTCAGCCCCGCCCTATGCGACTCCAGAGACTCAGGGTCCTTCAGTACTTGTTGCAAGCGCCTCTGAGAGAAAGGTGCCCTCGATTTTCGCCTGCTGCCAAACTGTCTATGCTCTCCCCCAATGAGTCCGGTATTGGGGTTCAGTTCAGTTGGTAGTGGGATTGGAGGTGGCGTTCAGAGCAGTCTGGAGCCTGTCTCCTTCCCGTCAGGGCAGTCCCGCGGCACAGCCGGCCCTTCTCTGCGCGCAGTGTGAGTGCCTTCGGGACCTCCTTTCGCCGCTTCCCCGGAGTCTCGCCTTACAGCCCGGCTCCCTATGGATGAGCCTGGGTCCCCGGGGTCTGGCCTAGAATTGGGGTTCAGAGCAGTTGGAGCTGGGCCCAGCGCAGTCGGAGCTTTTCTCTCCTTCCTGCTTGGGACCGCCAGCCAGGCACTCGGCCTCCCTCCTCTCCGGCTCTGTCCTCTCCTCGCGCGCCGAGTGTCTCCGTACCTTGGGCTTTTACAGCTCCTCCGCGCTTCCTTCTGGTTTTCTCCTTGCTTCTTGTTGTAGAATTTCCAGTCAGTCGACTTTCCTGTAGTTCTGGGTAATGTCCATTTTATATTTTAGTTGTATTTTGTTGAAATTGTTGTGTGCGGCTGTGGCTAGTTGCCTACCCGAGCAGCCATCTTGGATTCTCTCATTCAAAATATATATTTTTTAAAAGAATAAAAAAATGCTGAAGATAATGCCCTAAACGGTCGGTCTGAGGACTTGGGGGTTCGATTCCAGTCAGGGACATGTACCTTGTTTGCAGGCACATCCCCAGTGGGGTGTACATGCAGGAGGCAGCTGATCAATGTTTTTCGCTCATAAATGTTTCTAACTCTCTGTCCCTCTCCCTTCCTCTCTGTAAAAAATAAATAAAATTTATTTTTTTAAAAAGAAAAGGACCTAAATATAGTTTAAAAAAAAAGAAAAAACAAACTGCTATTCAAAGAAAACCAGATACCCAACCCTAGGACAGAAATCTGGAAATAAAAATTGGAATAACTATATAAACAAAACAAATGGAAGTGAAATAATTTCCTGCTCTCATAAATCACCGCACTTGAGTGCAGTCTTGGAATCGAACGCACCTGGTTGTGTATCCCTACTATGCCAAAGCTGTGGACCAGGGGTTAGGAAATAAAGGTTCTAGATCAGATTGTGACAACTCCCACAGGCACCTTGATCACGTCTCTTCATTTCTCTAGACCAGTGTTTCCCAAAGTGTGGTACGCGTACCCCCAGGGGTACGGAAAGAGTTTGGTGGGGGTACGCCTTGCACCGGAGTTTGGTGGGGATATGCACTGCACCGTGCTTAGCTGCGCCTAATTCTACGTCTCATGAGTACGAGGGGTACTCAGCGTTACGAAAATTATAGAAGGGTACACATATGTCAAAAGTTTGGGAAACACTGCTAGTAAGATCCTTACCTATAATAATGCTTCATTTCAAAATGGTTGTAAGGAGAAAAACTCCTTGGCATATATAGCAGGTGTGCAATAATTCCTACTTAAAGGACAGCATGGTATAATGGAAAGAAGTGGGCTTTGGAGTCAGGCAAGCCTAAATTTGAATTTCATTGTGTGAATCGCTTAAGCCTTAAGGTCTCAGAGCCTGTGAAATGGAGATGTTATCTATCTGATAGGATTCTATGCAAATTAACCAAGCACTGAGTTAGGATAAGGTAACTACAGAATGAGTCTAAACTCCAGAGGAAGTGACCTCTTCTAAACCACCCTTTCTTAACCTAGGATCCACAGGGGTCACTGGGAGACTGTGACCTCCTGATGGTGCATGCAAAGGTTCCTGTGCATAGCTGCATTTTTCTCAGGAGAAAGCCCATAGGTTTCTCATTCCCAGAAACATATCCTAAGGAAACAACTGAAAATCCAGGGGGAAATGACATACACAGTTATCAAGTGATAAGTTATTTGCAACAGAGCGGGGAGGGGAAGGTAAATTCAATCTAGGGCACATGTCTCAAACACAAGGCCCGCGGGCCAAATCCGTCCCGCCAGGCCTTGCAATGTGGCCCGCACCGCGCTGTCATCACTGCACTCCGCTGCGTTTCCATCACAATGACAGTTTATGACTGTTCAGTAAACCATTCAGCTCGCGATTTAGGCTGGATTTTAGATTTTGGCCCCTTCTCTGATTGAGTTCGACACCCCTAATCTAGGGGATGGAGGGATGGTTAAAACAGCAATTCCATAGATTGAAGCCAATAATAACCTAATGTGTTCCCAGAGAAGTATGTGTGTATGTGTGTGTGTATGTGTGTGTGTGTGTGTGTGTGTGTGTGTGTGTGTATATATATATATATATATATATATATATATATATACATATATATATACTTCCAGAGAAGTATGTGTGTGTATATTTATATATATCTATATCTATATCTATATCTATCTATATATATCCTTCCTCATTCAAGAATTTTTTCCCCCCATTGATTTTTAGGGAGTTGGAAGGGAGAGAAACAGGAAACACAGACGTGAGAAAGACACATCGATTGGCTGCCTCCCGCATTGCCCGCCTGACCAGGGCGGGGAGCCTGCAACCTCAGTACATGCCCTGGACCGGAACCAAACCCGGGACGCTTCAGGGTGCAGGCCAACGCTCTATCCACTGAGCCAAACGGCTAGGGCAACAACCACTATTTTAACCTAACAGTCTGTGACTCCATCTCTGAGGCTCTGAGAATTAAATCTGGTTCTGATTTAACCCCTTGTTCTGAAACCAACCACTCAACGCTGGCCTAGTTATTCAGCTATTACCAAGAAATCACCACCACCCCCAATCCCCGATTGTGGCAAAAAGCTTCTCAAAACTGGATAGCTTCCCCGACATAAGGGGGGAAGGGGTCTGCCAGCCGCGGTCGCCCCTGCGGCCAAGTCACCGCGAGGCCCCGGGCCAACAACAGGCCTTTGCTCTGAGGTGAGGACAGGCGCCCTCCGGGCTCCCAGGTTGGCTCCCGCCCCCTGCCCTGCCCCCGGAGCCAGGCAAGACCCCGCGGGCGCAGGGGAGGCCGCCGGGCGGCGGCGGGAGGCGCCCCTCCGGAGGGTGGAAGCACTCTCCCCGCGGTGACAGACTTGCCTGGGCTGAGGAAAACCGAAGCGACGCAGCCCGGGCTCCGACTCACGGGAGAAAAGGACGCGACGTCGGCGAGCAAACAAAGCGGAGCCCAGGCGCCGAGGGGAGGTGGTGGCCTCCCCCGCCCTCGCTAGGCTGCTGCCCCCGGGCCTGGTCGCGGGCCCGCGCCGCCTTAGTTTTCCTCTCCCCCAGTTCCCATCGGTCCCCGCCACAACTCTCCCCGACGAATTCCCGCCTCCCGCCCCCTCGGCTCCCGGCACCCAATCGCCTGGACGAGCTCCGACAAGCCAATCACACGCCGAGACCAGAAATCAAGCAACCAATCCGAGGGCACGGGAGTTCTGCGCCCAATGGGAGCCTCGCGCTATCATTCGACCGCGATAATTGGCGGCCCCGGAAGGCGAACGGGAAAGTCACTGACTCCGCGCACTTCCTAGTGATTTAAGGAGAAACAGAGCAGTTTAGCTTTTTGCAACCGGTGGTTTAAGCCGTGTGTCAGTTTCTAGGGGAATTAGAAATGTTCTTCTTAAGGTCTGTAGGTAAACGGAGAGGAGGCACCTTTGAGCCTTGCCGACCTCTCCTCTAAGCGTTTTTCAATGCCGCTGGATTCAGAATTCCGAACTTGAATTAATGAGTGCCCAGGGTATGGGAAAGAAGGAGGCTGGAATGGCTGGCCCACTGAACCGAACGAGGTGAAAGGTTCTTGACTACAATGTCTCAATCAAGGATTCCCAGATATCATATTCTACCAGAGAAGCTCGAGGTCTCTCCAGCACCAGATCACTTACGTCTTCCTCCGTTAAGACTGATCCCTCCTAAAAATCAATTTATTCTCCTTTGCCAAGAGTACACTTCCGTTTTCTCAAAGGTAGGCGGCTAATCGTCTTGCCCCCCAAAAATTTTTTTTCATTCTGTAAAGCCTAAACTTGGCTCAAATAGTGTACCAGAAAAGGAAAACCAACTAGTTTCTCAAATTCGGGAAACTACTTTGGGGAGAGAGGTGTGCTGCAGGAGGGAGAAGCAGGAGGAGAGTCTTACATCTTCCCCAAAAGACAAAACTTAAGTCATAAAAATAAATTTTACTCTTTAATTTAGTAATTTCAGGCTGAGAAATTTATCCTAAAGAAGTAATCTTTAAGAAAGAAAATTAAACAATACCTTAGTTGATCAGTATCTATTATAATACTGGGGGAAGGGGGCGACTATAAACTCCCAGCCTAGTAATAGGGAGATGGTTATATCAATTCAATCAGTATGAAGCCAATAAAATAATTATAAAAACTAAGCAGCCGAAACCAGTTTGGCTCAGTGGATAGAGCATTGGCCTGCGGACTGAGGGGTCCCAGGTTCAATTCCAATGGGGGCTTGTGCCTTGGTTGTGGGCACATGCCCAGTGGGAGGTGTGCAGGAGGCAGCTGATCTATGTTTCTCTCTCATTGATGTTTCTAGCTGCCTCTCTCCCTTCCTCTCTGTAAAAAATCAATAAAATATATTTAAAAAATAATAATAAATTTTAAAAAAACTAAGCAGCCTGCAAAAAAAAAATTCTATCTAAAGTTAAATTAAAACAAAAAACAAAAAAAATCCACACTGGGTATTAAGAATTATATGAAAATATAAGCAAAGATGAAGGGAAGGTACAAAACTGTAATTTATTGTTAAAACAGTGGAATAACGGGTAATTTATAAAAATACACCCCTAAGTATGTTTCCCTCTCATCGACGTTTCTAGCTCTCTATTTCTCTCCCTTCCTCTCTGTAAAAAAATCAATAAAATATATATTTTTTAAAAATACGCCCCTAAGTATACCTTCAAATTGTTATTCTTTTATAATTTTTAAATTACATTTTATTTCAGAGAAGAGCAAGAGAGATAAAAACATCGTGATGAGAATCATTGATCAGTTGCCTCCTGCTCACCCATACTGGGAATAAACCATGACCTCCTGGTTCATAGGTTCATGCTCAACCACTGAGCCAAGACAGCCAGCCTACAAGGTTTTTAAATATCTTTTAAGTAACTGCTCCAGGATTACTACGCTGATTCTTCTTGCCTAAATTTCTGAAGAGCTGAACAGACTCTAACCCTGTGTTGCCTTTGATGTATGTGGCACACAGAAATAGATTCACTTATGCCCTGAAGCCACACAGTCCTAGAATCCAATTCCATGAACTGTTCCTTTCAGATTAATAGTAGTGAAATGAAACAAAAAATACAACTTCATTTGATAAAGATGAATGTTTATAAACCAATATTCAAAATAGCTGCACACATCTGTTTTCACTTGAATAAAAAAAAATCACATTTGACAAATTTTATAACCTTAACTTAAAATACATGAATATTAGCATTTACTAATATATTTACACAATTTATTTACATCATCAACAAATCTGATGAAAAACAGCATGTTATTATTTTAACACAGCAGGTTGTGACCAGTCTTTGAAAAATTTTCCAAGAATGTGCACTGCATTCAGTTAGAAAACATATTTCAACCTTTTCTGAATTCCTAGAGGTTGGTTACCTACTCACAAAATATTCCAAAGCCTCCAGAGCAGAAGTATTTAATTTTAAAAGACTACAAAATGGCCTTGTTTAAAAATATGAAATTTCTAATGGTATTTTTAAATGCTTTTGTTTTTCACAAAAATTACTTAATCGAACATTAAGCAGCTACCATCTATAATACTGTACACTTCATGATTTGAAACAGCTACAAATTAGTTCTCATATAATACCCTTATGAGGTAGGGCCAGTAGTAATCCCATTTTAAAATGAGATGTGACTATTTGCTAGTAAAAAGGCTGAAGTTTAATTTCTTAAAAACCACGCTTTCTTATTAGCCTGCCTAATTTCTTTTATAAGTGAAGGGGTCTGTTTCAAGTGGGGGCAATAGAAGGGAATATCTGTCATTCAGTTATACCTCAGAAAGCAAAGAGAAGTACCTTCTACATTGAATACTTAATTAAGAAAGTAAAATGAGGATTATGGATTACCTGAATGCATCTACCTAGTGATCAATGGAAGTTACTAGCAGAGGACTGCAAAATCCTTCTGCAACATGGTATTTTCCGTTTGTTTGTTTGTTTGTTTTTCTTATTTTTCCTGAGGTCCATACATTGTATACATTTTCTTAGTCAAAGATCTTCTAAGATTATGATGTGAATTATAATCCTAATGACAAACCAAGAGCTCTTTAATGTAAAGGGTTGTATTACTCTAAAACTTAAATAGGTACCAATGTATTTCTGACCATTAGATAAGTTAGTAAAGCATTATAAAAATAAATTTTAAAAAAACTAAATGAGACCCTCCTTTCAGATTCTTCTCTGCACAAAGATATTTCTGTATACACTTTTAAACCAGTATTTTAAAATCCCAAATTATTCAAGTATCTCTTTAAACATATGGCTTTACATATTCGTAAAAAATTGAAGCAAACGTAAAAATCGTAAAATCCTCACCTGTAATTCCATGAAAATCATTTACAAAAAGCTATTTGCCTTTTCTTAAAGCCTTCTCAATACCATTTCTTGAGAACTGGAATTTGATCTTGCATTACTATTACTTGCATTGCAAGTTTTAGAGATTTCTATTTGGGTATTTAAATTCCTAATTTTTCCTGAATTCTCCTTTTTCTCCCTCTCATCATTGCATAATTGTCACACGTTGTTACTAGCTCACAGCTAAAATAAACACTAGGACTACCCACCAACTCATTTTTATAAGAAATTAAAGGCATAGCAGTTTTTCTTCACTTCAAAAGATAAATACAAAGACAAATTCACTTTCCACTAATAAGTTGTTTAAATGTGCTCCCAATTGGGGGGGGGGGGGGGCGCGAGACTCGGCTATTACAATATAAACATACCAGCAGAGTAGATCCAAGAACTGCCAATCAAATACAAGCAAGCATAATTCTCCAGAGAGTTCTATATTGTATTCATGGAGAACTGAACCAGTTTACTGATTCCAAGATGGCACTGCTCCCATTCAGTTTAGAGTTACTATAAGGTATAGATTCATACTGGGTGTGTAGCAACCATCTTCACTTTGTTTTTTAAATTCCACTAACACTCATGTTTATTATTTCAATTATTGTGCTTTCAATACAATGACAGAGCTGTACATCAGGATCCATGCTTCCAGTGTCCCTGGATCCATTTTTGTAAGATGAATCTTTACAGATTCCAGACCATCCACTTGGTTTCTCCTTTATTTGTTGAAGACCTAAAAACATATGGAAACATTTTTAATTAAGGCAAGAAATCTAAAAAGAATTTTGTCTATTTGAGATATTAAAACAAGTCTGAAAATAAGTTATACTTACGTGTAATAATTGGATCAATGTCTCTTGTCTGAGTGGCAACATCGGAGGCACAGACTTGCCCTATTTGGATCAGCAGAGACATAACATCCTCATACAGTGGAGGAAATGCTCGGCAAAAAGAGACCAAACTTGGCAGAGTTGGCATGAAAAAAGCATATCGCTTAGCCTGTGTTAAAACTGGAAAGAATAAAACAATTTTTACCTTTACAGTTATAAATTCAACATGTATGGCCTATACAAGTCTCACGTTTGTGCTGAGGATACTGTTTTCTAAGTCAGGGCCACCCCTGCCTCTAGGGAGCTCACAATCCAGTAGTCAGCCATCATCCAACATAGAAATTCTTATGCCCATGCACTGTGATAAGTGTATCACATGCATTATTTCATGTAATTCTCATAATCTTATGAATGAGGAAAGTACTATAGCGATACCTATTTTTATATGAGAAAACTCGTAAATAAAACATAGTTTATCCCTGGCTGGTAGCTCAATTGGTTGGAACATCACCCTGATACATCAAGGTTGAGGGTTCAATCCCTGGTAAGGGCACATATAATAATCAATCAATACATATATAAGTGGGACAACAAACTGATATTCTTTTCTCTTTCTCCCTAAAATCAATTAAAACACACACACACAAATATATATATATAGTTTAACACATTTGTTCAAGGCCACATAGCCAGCGGTAGATAGTGATAGAGTCAGTGGTAGAGTTATGACTCAACTTGGGCTTTAAGTTCTTAACCACTACAAATAATTATAACATGAAGTACAATAAATACAATGGAAAGAAAAATGAGCAGGGTATTATGGGAGCACTGAAAAAGAATATAAAATTAAGCCATTATTTTACAAAATTAAATTATAGTTCATATCT